GTATGATACAGTTACTGTCAAGTTTTCAATCTGCTAATAATGCTTCGAACCGAGCTGCTAACACTTCATTCTTTCTTCTATTCCCTGCTTTCCTGTCTTCTGTCAGAAATAAAGATTTCAGACATAGGTAAGCCAACCAGTGGAGAATTCTTATGCTGCTCCCTGTCTTGTTGCATGTTATTACACAGTGAGCCACAAGTGCCATTTCCAGATGATTCAATAGCCAATGAAGCTGGCGTGATTAAAGCTGGCGTAGGCGCTCAGTCATCAGAACTGGAAGGCATTAATCAGAAAGCAAGATCACACAGACTTCTGCATGATCTGTAGACAGAGAGAACTAGACATAGACATCGCAAGCAAGGTAACGAGAGGAAGTGGGTGGAAGGAAAAGTGGATGGGAATTAACCAAGAAAGTAGCGTAAGGACACTCTCGGGGTACAAGTCACTTGAATACAGCTTTGATGGAAAAATAATTCTTTTCTATGTCTTCCTTTTGCATTTGGGGATTTTAGCAGGCATAGTGAAGGGCCAAATGCACCCCAGCATCACCTACCAAACTACCCGACAGTTTGAGCTCTTCATAGAAAGCTTTCACTTTAGTGAAAGTATGTCAGGCTCAAATGTGAGCTGGTGTAACAGCGAACCTCAGCCAGGAAATACAATAAGTAAAAAGAAAAGAGTAATAACAAGCAAACAACATGAAAGAGAGACTCTTAAATCGGAGCTTTGTCACTGAGAGTATTTGTCACTTGGGTTCACTGGAGTTGCAGTGGGTTTGATGCAATCAGTTGCATTCGGGAAGGCGTCAACCTACTGTGACCATCTGCATTTGCAAGGACTCCTCTATCTCTGACAAGTTTCCCATCTTTCTCCCTAAATGCTTGCTAAATTAGGAGCTTAGACTGTGGAATTGGAATTTTGTTTTGGGATTTTGTTTGGAATTTTGTTTTGGAACTTTGTTTTGGGGGTGTTGCATTTTGAATTGGGGATTTCTTTTTCCTTGTTCCTTTAACGTTGTTGAGGTGGTGCAAAAGTAGAAATGTTTATTATATCTGCATGCCTGAAAACGCAACAGATTAGAAACTACTTTTGTTTCTTAGTGCCAAAATATTAATGGAGGGCTGAGCTTCCCTGTATAATGGACTGGCACAAATTTGTATTAATGGGGGCAGGAATGTATGCAAGACACCTTCATCAGGGTGGATTCTTTGTCTCCTCCTTCATATCATAAGAAAGCACTAGCAAAACTGATTTCTCTTTGGAACAGCCATGTTGTATCCTTAATGCCCTAGAAAAAGAACGTCACCGAAATTTACTTGCTATGGTGCTGAAGGGCAGCAGCTGAGTAGTTATTACAAGAAGAGTTTATATATATGGAGCTCATAACTGAGCCAAGATGTATGGACTGGTCACAAATACAAATACTAGTCAGAAATTTCTTAAGTCTGCCTGCTTGGTATGGCTCTGGTGGCATCTGCAGATGCTACCAGAGCCATACCAAGCAGGCAGACTTAAGAAATTTCCTAAAAACTATGGAATGAAATGAAAAAAAGCCAAGGCATGCTTCTTTCAATGCAATGCCTGTCTCCCAAAGGGGACCAGGATGGAAGGAGGTGAGGAGCTCTAGATTAAACATTCCCACCTGTAGGTAGCTTAAGGGGCTCACTCATATGAGTTAGCAGATGCTCTGTATCATTTGCCAAAATACTTTCTTGTTGGGAAACCTCTTTATTCCCAAGCCACAAAGAAATGGGTGCAGCTCTGGTAACCACGCTTTGAGCTCCAGAAGGTCCTAAACTTGGTCCCAGTGATGGGCAGTGATAGCTGCAAGGGGTGAGATGCACAGGAATGAATCTTGGCATTTTGGAAAGGTTGAAATCCGTATGCAAAAGCCTTTTTATTGTTGGAGGAGGATTTATTCCCTTCCTAAGTAGCCTTCTAGATTTGGAGCTTAGTTCTACAGCACAAAATAGGTAGCCAAGGTTCAATTCTCTGTAACAGCTGAAATGGCTGTGTGCCAACATGGGGATGTCAGCTAAGCCAGAAAGCATCACCAAATTGTGATGCCTCCCAATTTTATGCCCATCCATCATTCAGTAATATGGCTTTTTCCGAGCATGACAATAATAATTTGCCGTTGATTAGCATTATCTTTTCTCTGCAGGAAAATGGAGGGCAGTGAGGCATTTCTGTCATGAAGATGTGCAAAAAATAGCTGTTCTTAAATATATTCCTCCTTTCTTGTTTCCATTTGTATCTATCTCAGTGAAATAAAACTACAGTTAGTGGCAAAAACAGATGTGTGAAAGAACTGCCTATGATCAGATCAGAAATCCTTTGCAATCCATGGGTTGGCTTACAGCATTGTTACTAAGTTTTATTACTCAGCCTGTCACACTAGAAGAGTTTTGGGCATTGCACACAAACTGAAAACACTGAAAGGCCAAGAGTAAATTCAGCTCGCTGCACTGTGTGGCCTCCTTATGTACTAATCTATTGAGTGTCATCCAGGGAAAAAAAGACCGGTATCTTAAACAAGTTACAATAAAAAAAAATCCTGTGTTTGTGAGCTGCAGGGTGCTTAGCATGGAGCCATGGAAATGCAGCCCCACGGAACAAAAAACTCTCAGCTCCAGGAATTCAGTAGTTCTTTAGTCACCAGCAAACGCATGTGGCCAGCAAGGCTCGGGGAACACGGAGCAGCCAGCACTGCTGCTGGACAGTAGCTCTAGAGAGTTTTACACAGATGGTTTCGTGCACTAAAACAGGCATTGAATGCAATGGAGTGCCAGAGTTTTATTCAGATTAGCTATATCCAGTAAATAAGTTTGGTGTTGTGGCTGCTCCTGTCCATTGGTTATAGTCGGTGCCAGACCTCAGCAGCCCTATGGAATAAATGGTCTGGAGCCTTAATTACTCTCTTGAAATCACAACCCCCAGTATTCGTGATAGCAAGGCTAAGTATACAGACTAAGCATGAGTAAGACCTTTGGTATCTTCATTTCCTTCATCTACCTGTTTTGCTAGGCCTCCGCTTACTTTTTCTAAGAGCACAGGAGTTTCTGGATCAGACCTGAGGTCTTCTAGGGTGTACTTAATCTTGCCTGATATCAGACATTTGTAAAATACATGTCTAATCACTATCAATTTTCTCAAGCCTTTGGGTCATCAGTAGGTACTTCTGGAGTGTCATTCCTTTCTTCCTAGACAGGGTCAATGGATTCTGCCCTAAGTACAAAATAGTGTTACAATTAACACTATTAAGGAGCTGTCCTTAAGAGGTGGTAGATACCCTTGCTCTCGGAAAACGAGGTGCCATTCAACTTTTAAGATAAATGTTTAAAATAGGTCAGATGAATCATACCTCAAAAGTTGCTATTTCTCTCCTTTCACTCTGAAGGGAGTTAAGGCAGCCAGTTAAATGTAGGGATCTGCCTTGCACATGTCTAAAGTTTGGTGAAATGAGCACCGTAGGCTTTGAACAGCAGCCAGAGAAAAGGTGCTGACATTAGAGGATAACCTGCCAAAACCAGACAACCTCCTTCCAACCCTTATCACTTAGAGCCTGCCTCCCCGCTCTGCAGCAGGAGGTTTCTTCCCCAGTCTCTTCTAAAATAAGGGCTCTAAGCCTAAGGAAACACTAACAGCCTGGCCCTTTCTTTCAGACTGTGCATCTATTATAGAACTACAGAAGCAATGCAGATGAGTGCTACATATCTGGCTATTCCCTTGTTTTTCTTATTTTTTTTTACCACTTTCCTTTCTCTTGCCCACATGTAAGGAATCAGATAAAGCATAAGCACTTTAAAACAGAGTCTGAATCACTTAGCCTATCTGCAGCATATCTGCTGCACACCAAAGGGTGCTAACTCCATCTTGTCCAAATAATGCAAATGGAAAAAAAAAAAAAAAGGAATAGGACAAGAAAAGTGTATGGGAGAGCATATTTGCAACCCCAACCAACTGGATCACTGTGAATCTAAGTTACCTTCGTTTTCCCAGCACAGTGCTGTAACACAAGTGATATAAGAATATTACTTTCATTTCACTTTGTTGTGCAGTACTTCTGCTTACAAAAACTGTCCTCACTTCCCAGTGGCTCCATCGATGGTGGAGTTGTTAGTGCCCACCCAAACTGTGTGTTCTTGGCTAGAGATCAGCCTTCCCCAGCCCAGCAACTTTTACTTTGTTGTTCCAGGGGATTAAAATATCAATGCAGCACTCAGTGTTTCTCCTAAAAAGACTTAATAGGAGAGATCTGAATGGGAAATCAGCTTTTCACCCTTAGTTTTTCACCCTTTGTCCATTTTCCAGTGGCGACAGTCTCTATGGAGGATAAATATTCTAAGACTACAAATACTGTAACCGATTAAGTCTTCTGAATAGTACAAAATCCTGTCTTTTATTTTGCTCCCTTATCTTACAGAGAGATGAGAGAGGATGAAAGAAAGAAAAAAAGAAAGGAAAAAAAATCTCTGCTTTGCCACAGGCAGATTTATTTCAGTTGTTGTTCAGTCCAATTTTCTACTTGGATTTGCCTATTGATTGCTACTCTAAATATAAAGCAAAGCCTCAGAGTTCGAGGTTTCAGTGCCCATACATTATCATAGATGAAGGGAAGTAGTTTTGAAACTTCTGGAACTAATGTGTTTATTTAGCATCCTTCATACTGAAAGATCTCAAAGTGTCAAACAAAAATTTCACTGTTGGGCATCTTCCCTGCGTATTGGTTAAAACTGTTGACCGAAGCCAGTGGGATAAATTCCAGTTTGGTCATTCTTAAACACTTGTCTTTCACCATCTCTGCTCCAAAGCATTCCGGCTCCAGTGCTCAATTCCATAAGCTGTCCAGGGGAGCCTTCCTTCTGACAGAAGTCCTATGCATGGATCAGCATGTAGGATACTGTGGGAGGCCTGGAAAATAAGAAGTCCAGACAGCACAAGTGAACCAGTGCTTCCCATTGCTGACCCAGAGCCTTGCAGCTGCAAAGAAGTACTTTGTGTTGGGACCGCCTATCCCATTAATAGCCTCGGATTTAGAAGGGCAATTATATGTTTTAGGAGCCTTTCACCAGGTGACATCCAAAATAGTTTTTAAGTGACTCATGATTATTATTATCCAATGGATATTTTAATTAACATAAATTTCTACCTCCACCTTTCCCAAGGTGAATTTGCTGGTAAACGGATCTGCACATCTATGGTATCAAGCTGTACAAAGGATTAAATTTTAGCCTTTCAGAGCTTATCTTTTAATTTTAAATGCATAGTGATTGTAAACTCTGATTTCAGCCCTGTATTTCTGAGGAAAACAGCATCTCATTAGCAAAACTCACCCTGGGTTACCAGCAAGTACTCCAAATGCTACCTTTAAATAACAGGTTTTTATTTAGACAGTTAGATTTTGGTGGGAAGTGCAGTTCAGCTATTTTGCCAGATAAATGTTTCACTTTTCCATGGTTCTCTGCTCAGCGGTTAAAAGGAACGTGCATCTGTTTATGTGTCCATGCTACACAGGAGTTCTCATTAAGGAATAAAGAGCTCTCTCCTTCACAGAAGTTGTGGTCAGTAGTTAAGACCACTGCAGTGAGGCCATGAAATCGAAATATAAACTCTAATGATAGTGCTGGGATGGGGAACAGGAATATCAGGTTCAGCCAACAATTTTTTTCCATCTTTGAGAAAGTTATTTGCCTTTGCCCGTCTGCAAATGGCCCAGTGTGAGACTCAGTGCAAGGTATCTATGCTTTCCAGGTAAAGATATTAAAGAATTGTAAAGTGTCATTAAAAACGTCCACCTCCCATGCAAAACAGAGATTATGAAAGGCTCCAAAGCTGACTGACATTGAGCTGAGCTTTGTTAAGACAGTCAGCTGGAAGTGCAAGGCCCCCATCAAAAATGGATGATGGATTCCCATGGGGAAGCTTTTCCACCAGGGTTGAACCCACTTGCTTAGTGTGAGTGACATGCAGGTAAATGAAATAATACCCTACCAGCTCACTGTCACTGGAAGGAATAGATGGAGACTGAACTGTCAGGCTGGAGCTGTCTTGAAGGTCAGGGCATTTTATTTAGCAAGAATCAGTGCCATTTGTGGAGATGAAGTCTGTTCAGACTTTAATAAGATAAATCACAAGGGATATTCTCAAATAAATGAGAAAGGCTTTTTTTTTTTTTTCTTCCTAAAGTATTAAGTAATTTGAATGAAGCACCAGCATATGGCTTTTTAAAACTGAGAATAATTCATTATTTTTTGTGTGTTTAAGAAGGGTTAATTTTCCTAACATAAAGGTTGAAGGAGAGAGGAAAGTTTGTATTATGAGGGACAGAGTCAACTGTGATAGACTCTCAGGTTTCTAGCCAGCTTCTCCTGGAGTAATTCCACTAAAAGTGCAAAATTGTGAACTATGGCCTATCCATTTAGCATGATTCCTAGGGAGCTGATAAGTTTGGACATTTTGGAGGGTTCTGGATAAAAGCTGAGAATATTTCATACTTAATCTCTAGAGGTCCCTTCCAACCTTCTGTGATAATGATAATACTTAGCCTTTCTTAGAAGGAAGGAGAGCTGTGTTCATGCAGCAGGTTTAAACTTGGTTTGCAGCTCAAAAGTTGCAACTCAACAGATACTAGTAGCAAACAATTTTAATAAGATGAGATCACATGAAATTGCAGCTAGAATCCTTCAAAGACAGTACCTAAAACTGGTTGTTTCTGTTTCCAAATAATGGACGCTAGTGTGTCCATTTCTTCCTCCTTGGGCTCATTTATTGCTGTGTAACTAAAAACAGAATTTTGTTAAAGAACATGATTTTTTTTTCGCTTTATTTTCTAGATTTAGTGTCCTATGTTTTCCACTCAGTAGCTGTCACACTAGCATCAGTTCTTCGGGGCTATGTCTATAATAAGGAAATTAAACAATCCTGAGAATTGGAACTCAATTCATAGCAGTTGTGGAAGGGTTTTGGCTCTGGCCAACTATCCCTCTCCCTGAAAATGCCCAAGCCCAGCTTGGATGTTAGTGCCAGTCAGAGCTTATTCCACAGGCAGGCTGAATGCAGTGACCCCAGCTTGGAGGATGCAAGAGGTAGACAGTGTGGCCAGGAGCCTTCCCTGCTGGCTGGCCTCTGTGTCAGAGCAGGCTCGCAGGCACAGCTGTTGGGGACAGATATTGCTGGGAACCCAAGTTATAACACGTCCTATACTAACATTGCTAAACAGAGCGCTGCCTTACTTCTCCACTCTGTCTGCCTTGAGCATTTTTATCCTCTAAAATGCTAACGCTGCCTGTTTACTTAAGGAAATATCATCTGAAAAATAATAACATCATACCCTTGCTTTTCAGCCACAGCCCAGCTCATAAGTATTACTTGACCACAGATCCGATCACTGGCTCCATCTACCTCTCTGACACCAACAGCCGTCGCATCTATAAAATCAAGTCAACCACATCCGTGAAAGACATTGTGAAGAATTCAGAGGTCTTGGCTGGCACAGGAGACCAGTGCCTTCCCTTTGATGATACCCGCTGTGGAGATGGAGGCAAAGGCACCGACGCTACCCTTACAAATCCTAGGGGTGAGATTGCTTCTTCTTCACAGGCATTTTTAAAGGGACCTTTTTGGAAGGTGCTAGTTTAATTACTTTGGAGACTTCTTCTCACCAAGCAGAAGATGCTCTAGGATTTTGCAGGCCTTCCCAAGCCAACCACTAACATTTTTTTAAGTGTTTCTCTTTAGAAATAAGAGTGGGTATGTCACACACTCAGCCTGGGTCTTTTTATTGAGGTGGCCGGGCAGAGTGCCAGACACCAGAGTGCAATAACTGGCAATATGCCCAAAGGGCAATTGAATGAAACCACCCACCAATTTTATAACCCGCTTAGCCACTAGTCCTCCTTAGACTGAATTCACTTATTTTCAGTTTACTGGGGCCTTCTTGGCCCGATCTCAATGAGTATCATACAGCTAAAATAGCAGCAAAACCCCCAAATATCTCAGGTAAGTAAAATTCAAATGTATACCTTGACACTAGTTATCCGGGTTTTCAAAAAATATGATTTCTATCCATATAGATTAAAACATTGATAAAAGGATGGTCTCAATCAGTGAAACTTCATCCGATTCCTGATTAGTTTAATGCAATTTGATAAAAGCACAGTCAAACCAAAATAAAAGCATCACACAGCCTTCACAACTGCTGACTAAATTGTCTCAAAACAGGTTTAGCCAAACATATGCAGTCCTGCGTGTAGCCAAGACTTCAGTCTGGCAGTCTCAAGGTAACAAGCTCTGCATATGGAGGATGTCACTGCTCCCAGCTGTCCACGTTCCGCAGAAAATCCACACGGAGGGTGCGAGGATTAGGAGGAAGGCATTGCTGGTGCAGCTACCTTCTGCTCCCATGCAGAGCTTGGCCCTAGGGCTGATTTGAGAAATGTGTCACTTTTGCCTCTTGCATGACTTCTTGCCCTGCTGGTAGGATACGTGAGAATCCTTTATGGATTCCTCCTTTGACACAGCAGTGTGTTGCAGGTTTCTTTTCATTGCAGCTGGAAGTGGTGGCTGTCCCCTTCCTGTCACCGCAGCAGTTTCCAAGCCTTCCCCAACCTCCCCTTAGAGCAGCCTCTCAGCAAAACCTGAGGGTCCTTTAAGATGTTATTTCACAAAGCAGGGAAGAAAAAAAGGCAGCTGAGCTTTTTTTTGTTCATATAGGCTAGTTGTTTCCTGGCAAGATGCAGAAGAAATTCCCCTGGAGGGCTTAGTCTTTGCCAAAAAATACCGAAGGCCAAATTTCTACCCTCATAATATTCCAAGGACCCAGCCTGGGTTCCTAGAGTGCTCCATAGTCCAATGAAGTTACCCTTTACATCTGGATGAAGTATTGCCAGAGGCACTTATGCAGAAAGCGAACAGCTACCTGTGGGAGCTGAGGGGGAATTGTCTCCCTGAAAAGGAGAGGGCTGAGTGAGAAGGAATTTAAGACTTGGCCAGAGAGATTCAGGCAGTCTAACAGATGAGTCATGAGATCAGGAAATCTGGAAATCTGTAATCCAGTTTTCTACCCCACTTTGATGTTCAACCAGTGTAAATAAGAAAAGCTTTTATTGGACCTCCATTCTCCCTCATT